GACTTGGGGGTGCTGGTTGATGAAAAGCTCTATGTGAGCTGGCAATGTGGACTTGCAGACCAGAAAGCCAACCGTGTCCTGGCCTGCATCAAAAGAAGTGTGACCAGCAGGTCGAGGGAGGTGATTCTCCCCTTCTACTCTGCTCTCGTGAGACCCCATCTGGAGTACCCGGTCCAGCTCTGGAGTCCTCAGCACAGGAAAGACAGGGACCTGTTGGAGCAAGTACAGAGGAGGGCCACGAGGATGGTCAGAGGGCTGGAGCACCTCCCACATGAGGACAGGTGAGAGAGTTGGGGCTGTTCAGCCTGGTGAAGAGAAGGCTCTGGGTAGAACTTACAGCAGCCTTCCAGTGCTGAAAGGCGGCCTACAGGAGAGATGGGGAGACACCCGTTATTAGGGAGTGTAGTGAGAGGACAAGGGATAACAGTTTTAAGCTGAAAGATGGTAGATTTATATATTAGGAAGAAATTTTTTACTATGAGGGTGGTGAGGCACTGGCCCAGGTTGCCCAGAGAAGCTGTGGATGCCCCATCCCTGGAGGTGTTCAAGGCCAGGCTGGATGAGGCTTTGAGCAACCTGGGCTAGTGGGAGGTGTCCCTGCCCATGGCAGGGGGGTTGGAACTAGATGATCTTTAATGTCCCTTTCAACTCAAACCATTCTATGATTCTATAAGACTAGGAAGTACAGAATGACACGAACAGAGGCCTCAAGGTGTTCCTCTTGAGACACTTCTGTCAGTCACAGAAATATTTGTCCTAAATTCCCAGCGCAAATCATTTCAGGATGCTTTTTAACATACTACAAAATAGAAGTCACTTAAATACACCAGAAGCTAAATCAATGAGAAACTAGATTACACCTGAAAATGGTAATAGACATATGCAACATATTGACTTTTCAGGAATTTCAAAGGTGGACAAGACCAGGATGGGAGATGAAGAATCAAAATGAGCTCAGGAATACATTTGCCTTTTATGCAATAGTCTCCTGGGTGATGACAAAATTGCACTGGTTTAAAAATTTTAGATTAAAGAAATATTTTCTTTATGTTTAACCTTCTTCATGGATTGCTAAGAGACATAAAACTGGCTTTGCACCACCTTCTGGTTTTAGGATTTACCAAATCACCTGAAAAAAACAGAAAAGAAGAATGTGTTGGGAAGGTGAGGGGTAGGGAAGATAGGGAGGAATATGAAAGTTTGAAAACAGACCTAAAGTTTTCCAAGGCATATTTTCTTCTTAGAAGCTCCTATTAAGCAGAAAATAAAAGGACATCATATCCACGAAGGGGAAAAATCAGCTTTCTTAAGAAATAAATCTGTAACATATTATAAATGAAAATTCAAAACTGCTGGCTTGTATCTGAATGAAATCCCAAACTAGACCTGTGTAAAGTGGGTGTTTGGGGAAGTAGTTTACAAACAGAAGTTAACCAAAAAGGTTCCTTCAGGCTCGCAGACATCGAGGAAGCCCAGTGAGGATCCCATAGCAGCCTACAGGCTGATGAATAAGCCAGAAGGAAGCTCATATGTAAAACACTCCCACCTGGTTTTGGCACAGTCTTACTGACAAATCTAAACAGGAAAATCCTGAGTTGCAGTTTAATCAGCACACTGCACCTTCAGATAATATTTAAATTATGTGTCTCAAGAATCAGTAATTCCTTCTGCAAAAGAACTTCAAGCTTGCTACAATGCTGTTTTCCTTGACTTACAAGGTTAAAGTCTAGTAAAAGGAAGGAGAATGGAAAGAGCTGTTGAAAAGAATTGCTTCAGGCAGAAAGGAAAATCAGATACTAGAAAAAAAAAAATCAGCTTGCTGCCATACTGAAACTGGAGTGATGTGCCTTTGAGCAACTTGAGGAAGGCTATTACTGGCTCAGGTACTCCAAAACTGGCTCAGCTACACCAGTTGAACCCAGCTCTCTGGACCTGGCTTTGCTGAACACTACAGTGCTACACTTGCACTGATACTGGTATTCAAGCTAAAGTTAACAAATTTATTCTGTATAAGGTGTAGCTGCTCTTCACTGCAATATGTACATGAACCAGGCCACTGAAAATGAAGATAAAGTTATTGAGTACCCCTGGGGGGGTCTTAGCTGCATCCAGCCACCTGTGAAAATTCATTCTGTTCACAACAACTTTGAATCTAATGAGTTTTCTGTAAACTACAACTAATGCTTATAAAGCTATTGTACACAGGTATTCCCACCTACAGTCAAGTGAAAGTAGTTAACCTAGCTGAAACTGTAGAAGTATTTCAAACAGTTAAGATCTCACTGAAGAGATTAAAGTTAAAAATCTTGCTCAAGTAAATTTCTAAAAGTATACTTTAATAATTTCTAAAAAACCATATTAGATCTTATAAAAGAGCTGTCATCTGTCAGATGAAAATTAAGTGTAATCTGACCATCACAGCAGTAATTAAAATATTGAAATTAAGTATTAAGGGATCTGTTGCTCACTTTAAAGTGGAATGCTTGTTTCCAGTATGGTTGTATTTTCAGAGATGCTTCCCAGTTTAAGAACCATGGCTCAACTCAGAGGAAAGTCACAATAATAGAGAACTTGAATTCAATTCCTAAATGCTTGGAACAAAGAATACTGAAGGTAAAAGGGTTATATTTTCATAACCGCTCCCTTTTCCTGTGCTTAAACATAGTGCGTTTTCCACTACATATTACATATCTATCCATATCTATCTACATATCTATCCACGCTATAAAGGGAGTCCTTATCCCCAAAATATTTTTCTGCTTACTGTTTGGAAATCTGGAAAAACTGGATACAGCAAGCAGTGACTATTATAATCCATTTCATATTAAACATTCAGTAACTCAGACAAGCTTGACAAGTACATATTTCAACAACAGCTATGATTATAGGTTTCATTTTATCACAGAGGTGCATACTGTACATACCTCTTGCGCTAGTTCTTGTGCATTGGAGATGAGAGGATATGGAGGGCTGGCTTTGTTCATGTGCACTGTAACAGCATTGTGTATCTTAAATGCATTCTGAAAATCAGTATTTTGAACAAGCTGTAAAATGAGAGAGATATCCTCTTGGCTCTGAGGGTCTACCAAAACGTGCTGGATATGCTTAAGAGAAGTTAACAGTTCTTCCACTTCTAGGCAGGAAATAACAAAATACAAACAAGGTAAGAGTTAACAAGATTCATAACTAAGTGATGCTTATATTAAGATTTTTACAAAAAAAATTTTTGCTCTTCAGTTTCTAATCAGCAATGATGTATGCAAATTCGTTAGTTATCCATTATTCACTCTGATTTTTACCAGCACAACATCTGAATCAAAAAAAGGACCCCAAGTTGGTGAAAGAAGAAATAAAAAAGCTGATACACTGTTTAAATTCCTACTGCTGGAGCAGTTTCTGAAAGAAAACCACTGATACATAATGATCCAATAATTGCATATCATGTATAGCTAAATGGGAAAGAGGGACTATTTTGCAATATGAAAACAACTCCTTTGCTAAACTAATGATGATGCACTGAATATTCACTGTTACTTTGATACATCTTTCCATGTACATCTGCCACATATTGCTTACAGAATGAGTGATAAGCAAACCACTCAACTTCTAAACATAAAATCATGCTCAGTCTTAGCACATTAAAATAAAAAGGTAAGGATGAAAAAAAAATCTCTGGTCAGAGTTCTGAACGTCATCTGCACCAGAAGCTTCACATGTTTTACGTACAAGATTGAGTTCTGCTTGGACCATAAAATATTTTAACATATTTTAATAACCAATTTCTGCATGTGTGTAGAATACTATACATGTACTACATTCTTGAGCTTCAAGAACTAACCTCATGCTTCAGGGGTGACTTTTAAAGACTGCCAACAAGTTTACGTTTTTTTTTTAAGCCAATTCAAATTTCTGCAAAATGTCACTTCTCAATATTAAGTACTTGAGAAACTACCTAAAAAATTGAATATAAATCATACCTATAATGCATATATGGCCAGGTAAGAAATCCTCAAGCAGACCAAAAAAAACAATGGAAATTTTGAGCCTGAAATAATGTATACATTCTCACACACTATCTGCAAAAATCTGTTCAGCCACAAGAGGCTGGTCAGCTATCTTTTATTTTACTCAATTCAAGTAAGCTAGAATTCTGAATTCTGGTATTTTTTAAAAATGAACAACAAAGAAAATCCCAAATTTTAAAACTGTCCGCTGATACTGAGGTCACTCTTCCTTAGTGGCATCAAGATATCAACTCTGAGAATGATTTTTCAGTTTTAACAACGTTCATTAATTCATTATGAGCTAATTAAATAACACTAAAAAAGGAATGTTATCAAGACATCACCTAACTTGTATTTTTTACATGAAAAATCACAGTAGATACTGATCACTAGCCTGGACACATTCTGTCAAAAAGTTTCCTTTACCTATTTTTAACCTCAAATTCACCAGTATACTGAACACGATGCTAGATTCAAACTTGTTGAGCACAAGATTAAAATGGTTGATAAATGGATACATGAAAACCATAAAGCCTAGTAAAATATACATTTCAAACAAGTTTAATGGCTTTAATTTCAGACAAAGCATACCTACATATATGTTTTCAATTTTGAGTTTGCAAGTCAGTCGTCTGTATAATAAAAGGAACCAAACAATCCAGAGCTACTACTCTTGTACTGTTGTCAGGACAATAAAAACACAATCAAAAAAGACCCCTCCAAAACCATTCCACACATGCTAAAAACATCCTACCCAGCAAAGGTCAAGGGCTTCTTTCTGTAACCACCAAGGAAACAAAGGGCAGCAGTACAAAAGCTGCATGGGAAGCCCAGATACCGGCTGTGCAGGATATTCCACAGGTGAAATCCAGTACAGCTCACAACACTAATTAAGGCAGCCAATGTCTCACTGGGGAACTGTATACACAATATACTACCTACCACACAGGGGGAAATGCTCTTTGGAGGGAAGGCTAAAGAACACACTACAAGCAAGAATTTTTCTTAAACAGGACATCGTCAGCTGGCAAACATCTTGCTTAGTGGAGTATGCAGACTACCAAAGCACGTCAGAAACTGATTCTCCCAAGTCTGAGGAAGCGTATAATTTTTAAGCATTAAATAAATTTAAAAAAAAGTAGTGTAAACCAGTCAATGTTATTGGAAAGTTCCTACTGATTATCTGCTCAGTTAAAAAACACACCAACCCAAACCTGGTATTGGTTACTGTTACCAGAATCAAAAAACAATGAGGCATTAGAGAAGAACCTAACTTCTTCTAACTCTTCCTACGCCAGAATTATTTTATTCAATTATTTCTGAATTGTCTTTCCTGAGACAATATATCTGAGAACTCAAATACACACATAACATGTACACACACAATTCTTTCTAATATGTATTCCATATAAGACAAATACATACAGAAAGACAAACATCTTATTCTTTATCTATAATAAAGACATCCTGTTCCTAGATGCCTCTACATATTCTCTTTTCAGCACTTTGTTAGTTCCTTCTGTGTCACCCTTTCTTACACACTACCACAGTACTCTCCTCCCCACATAATTCCTTTCTACACCGAATCTTCATCTGTGCTGGATGCAAAAGCTCTGTACCAAGTGATTTCTCCCCACCATGAAACATTGAACACCCCGTCATCACGATTCTAAAAGAGAAACAATGGTTGAAGGGAGTAAAATGAAATATTCCCCAAAAGCTAGATATTAATTTCCTAGTCACCTGTTTAGTAAAAAACCCCACGCACATAAAACCACCCACAAATCAGGCTTTACACATGCCTAACTCTCTCTAGGTTCCCGGTTCTGAATTCCAAATCACAGATTAGATTTCAGTGCAGGGTTGGTTTTTTTTTTTGTTTGGTTTTGGTCTTTTTTTCAAAAAAATCCAAATGCCAGGTAACAAAAGACTCCATCTCTAGACATTTCCTATTGAAGGGGCTGTCTTCAGGAAAAGAAAGTTCAGTAAAAGACTTAACATCTGCATTTACTCACAGAAAAATGTCAGGGCTCTTTTGCAGAACAAGTCCGTTTTTTAATCGCAGATCAATTAGCAATCGACTACTTTTTTTTTAAAAGTCTTCTTTTACAAGAAGCGTTGCAGTCTTTTTTTCATTAGGCTATGAAATGGCTGGAATGTGACTGAGCACTGTGCGATATACTCATTAATCAAAAGACTGCCGGGACAAAAGTATGCAACTGCAGGGGAGGACCCACGGTTGCAGCTTAACATGTTAAATTAGAAAAAAGAAAACAGTTGCTGTTTATTACCTTAAACAAAAAGTTATGAACATAAAACTTAAAAAAAGATATAATTGGCTTTAGTGTGTGTCAACACCAATATCATAATTACCAAGGTTTTTTATAGATCTCTAGAGTATTCTGTGCACTGGTACTAGCACTCCAATGCTCCATTTATTACTTGAATCACAGGGCTAAGGAAAGTATTGCTTTATCCAAAACTATTTCTGAAACTTTATTTATATTTACAACATAAGTGAGTTTTGCCCAATGTGTAAGAACAAAAAATAGGCAGCTTTACCCCTAAGAAAATCCCATAAATGTCACTGTAGCCACAGAAGGTCTACTTACATATGTCAGTTACTCATTTAACTAAATCAACTAAATTAGGTGAATGAACTGCAGCAAACAATATTCTGCATTTTATAGAAGTATACTGCTGTGAAAAAGCCAGTTAAATACTTATACGCACATGTTCTAGGTGCACAGAAAGTTATTTCCACTAAGACAGCTGTCTAAATCATATGCTGTTTTGATAACAAACATGCCCTTTAAAATTGTTTTGATTAAGTGTCCTGTTTAATTTTTACAAATGAAATCCCTTTTGTTTAATCTACTCTGCTTTCTTTTTTTTTTTTAAAGTTGAAAAGATTAAAGATTGGCAAAGATCTGCCAAATTTGACACTAGCATTTATGAAAAAAATTTCAAAACTAAAAATACAGACAATCAGGTCAATATTCTTACTTGAAACACACTTCTTTAGCAGAGGCTCTATGGATTAACACACCAAAAAAACCCCACCCACAAAAAAGCAAAACCAAAATAAGTATTTTTAAAAAGACAGAATAAGGGTAGTTTAACATCTCTATCATTCACTAGCACCTGCTCAGTTTTATTTGGGATTATCCTAACAAAACTTAAGAGATTTGTGAAAGAGACTAAGCACTCTCACCTGGACAGCAAAAGTGGGAAGAGTCAAGTCAGGAGTAGTGTAGATCAGAAATTCAGTATAATCAAACAGAAAAACTGTGAAAAATTTCACAGACTAGCAGTTATTTTCTGGACAAAGTTATGGGCTAGAAAGTTTCTTGGAGACCAAGGAGTTGTACATGTAAATTTTAAAAAAATCTGGCATCTCCAATGCAGGTATTCAGTAAAAAAAGCAGAAGTATTAACGATAATGGACTCCAACCCTCTCTATGAAACTATATTATTTTGTAGGTGTGTGTGTATATACAAATATATATATATATGTGTGTATATATATATATTCATAAGGCAACATCCCCAGCCCTGATATACATCAGGAACAGACAGCTTTCAGAAAAAAACCCAAATTTCTTTTGAAATTCAGCAGAAGCATCAGATGTTAGAACGATTAATCGAACGGATTAAAATTTTGGAAGAGGACAAGTTACCGCCGAAGCACTTTGTTAAATTTAAAATTATTATTCAGTTTTTGACAGAATTAACGACTGAACAGAGATTCTTGATGGACTATATAGGTTAAGAGATGACAGCATTTAATTTAGAACATTTTTTTAAGTTTACAACAACTCAACATCACAGCTGAGTAAAACTGAAAGCACCACTCTTAACGGGAGTGCTAAACTACTATAAATCTGCTCTTAAATCAAATCTACCCGATCCAAATTGCTACTATAATTCTGTCTGGCATGGAAATAACAGCAGGGTGCTTGTATGCCCGTCAATATTATGTCATGACTTCTGACTGAAATAGATGCCTATGAAGCCCTAATTCATCTCCCTGGTGCCTATATGGATATATCATGACTTAATCTAGTGACATCTCCTAAAGCTCCTTGCCTTTCTAGCTCAAAGAACAGACCATATTCACTCAGCAAGCTACTCAGTACTTCTGCTCTATGCACGTACTTGTAAGCTTTATTTACTGCAATTCAGAGTAGAGACAGCCATTGTTAGTTTTCTCAAAAAGTGAGGGGAATAGCTTTAGTTAAATCATGCAATTTATTATCATGTTTTTACAGAAATATGCTGACAGAAGAACAATCACACAACCCAAACTTCGGTTACAGAAGTGAAGAGGAGTTTGTCCTTGAGGACAAAATCATCCAGTCGTTTTCCAACAGAAGTCACTTCTACTGTTTCATGTCAATCTTTCTATCTTCCGCTTTATGTTCCCTCTAAGAGGAGAATTTCACAAACATCTAACGCTTTATAAAGTTAAGCACGGAAGCTGCTTCTTACTAAGAGATCTCTTGGGCAGAAGCTGACAAGCCCTGCACTAAACCAAGGCACACCTGCCTAGTTTGTAACTGACCCTGCTTTCAGCAAAGGATGACTTCCTGATGACCCTTTCAACCTAAATTTTCCTAAAGAGGGATTTGTACAATAAGGATTACCAGAGGTTATGGAACAGAGGCATGTCTTTAGCAGAAGTGTTACCGGGGCACATAAATACTAAAGCTGAAGCAAAAAAAACCCTAGCAATTTGATAGCTATTTTTCAGTCTGTGTTCTCAAATATGAACCAATAGGAAAAAACAGGAAGAATCTTCAGTGCAGCCCCAAAAAAACAGGCACCTTTTTAAAGCAGTCTGGATCTCAGAACGGGTAGAGATTTGGAAACCTGAACTGGACTCCTACAAATTCCCAGTGCCTCTCTTTCACTCCAGTGACACACCACACTTTAGATAATAACCTATATTTGATAAGGCTAGACACCTTTTCTACACAAGCATAATTAAAGCAATGACAACTACGAAATGACCAATTTCAGAATCTATTTCTTCATTACATTTTCCTCAATGTCTAAGTGCCAAGGTAAGCAGATTTTCACTATCAGCCCCAATAGTTTAAGAGAAAACATAAATTATATTAGCTGACGATAATGCAAGATAGCCAGAATAAGAAATTAACCAGCATGTTTCTGTTTAAAATATTAAAAATTATTGCTTTTTGATTTTAAATAAGTGTTTATTCATTGCTTATTCTGGTCTGTGCTTCATCAAACGTAACAAAATTGAGTATTACTTGCAAGTTTTTCCCCAACCTAAAGACAATGGAGATGTCCACTGAATTCATTAGTTATCTGCACGTTATTTAACTGTTCCCCAAATGGATCGGTTTTGAAAAGCCACTTCCTGAGGGACATAGCCTGATGCTTGACTAAATAAATAAAATAACCCAAACCACCACAAATCCAAAAGACCAGAAGACTTTAAATCTGTATAAGAAGAATTAGCTAAATTAGGCTTTCAGTGGCCTAAAAGAACATTAATATCAACTAAATATTTTCTCCATTAGCCCACTCATCACATTGTACCTACCTAGTGTCTTCACAGTATAATGAGGGCTCTCCAAAACAATGCCTTCTTCTGTGTCAAATATTGGATTATCTATTCCAGTTTTAGGAGGAATTTGTGCTAGTTTCTTTAGCCTCATGGAAGCAGTAAGGTCCAGTTCTTGTTTCTTTCCCTCTTCTTCCCGTCTGCGCCTTATGTCCTCCTGCTGCTGACGGATTCGCTCCAGTTGAGCACTCCGCCGCATGGGCATCATCCTGGAGCCCAAATCCCCAGGGCAATCAACAGCCATTTCTCTGTGCTTCTGAGGTTCCTCAGAAGATGCAAGATCCACATTTTTTGCTTCACTGTCCGAATCTTCTGCGATATGTCCGTTCATATGAGAAGTTGTCATGATTATTTGTAACTATGCTTATTCTCTTCAAACAGAAATGCTGCTACTAGGCCAGTTTTCGTTATGATGTTGCGTAAAATCCATTATAACTTCAAAAATATCTCCCTTCCATCAACAAGACAGTTGAAGAAACATCCAGGAAGACAATCTAATGAAAAATATTCAGAAGTTGTTAGTGAATAACTGCTTTAATAAGAAAACACCTAAGACAGTTCTCCAGGTCCCCAGGCACCAGAACAATGGAACATTTCCTCCACATTTACATAGTGCTTCTTCCCCTACTAAGAACTACAGAACCCTCAAAAATTTGTTTCACACATTTTAGTAAACATCACGGGCCAATGTTAGAAAAGGAATACTGTTTGAACTAATGCTAAAGACTCTTTTTACATTCCTGGTCAAAGCAGTGGAGATTCTGCACTTAGCACACACAATTGCAAATCAGCAGCTCTCTGAAAGTTCCAGCTCAGTTTTAATGTATCCTTTCATGCTTAAGAATTTCAATACAAATCATCCTTACAATCCTACAAACACTAAATATTAATAACTTGTTATAAACATGTTCATAAAAATTTCAATAAGTTATACACAAGTAAAGATATTTGCATTTATCATTCATAAATTGAGACATTTTTATGTAAACACTGCTTCCCAGGTTCACAGAACACAGGTCTGGCACAGAGTTCTTCCAAAAGATATTATCTAAAGCAGTCTGGAGCTGCACTTACACAGTTCCAAGTAGGGATAAAGTCCTAGGATAAGGCTTGGACAGTTCCGGTTAGCAGTTACTCTTAAAACTTCCTATAGGCATGCATTAAAGCATAAAGGTTTAAATGCAAGAGGTAAAACGTTTGTGTGGGTGTACACAGGTGTAGATTTGACAAAGAACATCCATTTCCACAGTCAAGTACTGACATTCCACTATACTCCTTCTACCATAATCTAGCTTCTCATTCCTGATGATTCAGGCTAAAGAACTTAAGTGTCCTGATAAATATAACCACTCAGCTATTGAATATAATACATTTAACAATGTGTTTTATACCACATTATCTTTCTGTATTACAAAGCAAGTGATACATTACCCTCAACATGTCCAATTAAAAGGTCAGAAAATTAATAAATAGTTGTGTGCAGTACTATGAATACTCTTAACTTTTCAAGTTCCTTTTTATCTTTTTTTAATTTACTGAAAGGAAATACTACAAAATATCTCAAAGTTTTATTATACACTGGAAGTGCAAAAAAACCCCAATCAACCTTCTTAAACTAAACATTTGTATTTGGAGGAGGAAGGGAAAGATGTTTATGTTGTAATTAAGTTGAAAATTAAATTATCAATAGTACTGTTCTGGAGGAGCAGCAATAGAAACTCCTACACAAGTTTCTGCCAGCTTGCAATTCTAAGTACATACAGCATTTCGTTTTCACAGTGAGTAGTATACAGCTCCATACAGCAACACCAAACCAATTTTTTTCACTTGTTTCCCATCTAGACACTACTACCAGTTATTACTGAGATCTTCCAAGAAGTAAATATCAAAGCATTTCCATGGTAGTAAAAATTCTTTTTGGGCCTTTAAAAGATATTTAATTGCACTGCACTGATATGTAAAAACTATTTAAACGCACAACATTCTCACATACAGAAAAAATTCAGGCAACAAAAAAAGCCCATGAAAAGCTGCACAGTAGTGGGGCTAGCACTGCAAGTACCACATGATTAATTGGAGCCTGTAAAACTTTCAGTTAGTGCCCAACTTAAAAAGAAGAGCTTTCTGAAGAACAAAGTCACAAAGTTAGCATTCGGACAGGGTTATATAAAGCACCTATCAAAAAGCAGTCTCTGAAATTCAGAGGAAGGCACATAACAATTTAGCAAAATGATCCACGGAAAGCCACGTTTCCCATTCTGTAAAGGCAACTTCACTGCACAGAAATACCAACCCCCCCCCCCAAAAAAAAAAAAAAAGCAAGTCTTATCGGCTACAATAAAACTGCAAAGATCACTAATTTAACTGTGGGTGGAAGATACTTCAAATTCTCTTGCATCTGCATTGTACTGGCCATAGCTTGTCTGAAGACTGAGCCTTTTGAAAGTTACATTCATCTATTTTCAACTCTGACAAGCTGAAAGAAAACTCTCATTCCTCAGCCCATATGATACAACTAACAGGTGTCACAACAATTTGAGGAGATGAATAATATCCATTCACGTGCCACTGAAGTCAAAAACACTATTTGAGGACATGTAAGAAGTAAAATACAACGTGAAAGGTAGCATCGTAACACTCAATCATTTGTAATCTAAGTTACATCACACTATCTGAACATAAAGAACCTACAAACCAGAAAATGAAGTTGACAGCCAATATTTAATAACTGATCAAAAATATTTAAGGTAAGATTAGCTACATTTCCCTCATCAAATTTAAAAGTACTAGCTAAGACAGAGTATCTTTTGCAGTTAAGTCAGAAAAAGGGCACAACAAAAACTCCTGCATTTGTATACATAATGAGAAATTTTAAATCTCTTTAGTAATAAGCACTGAAGACCAGAAAAGCAAAAACACAGTCTGAGGTAAATATTAGTAATAGGCAACCACTGATAACATTGCTTACATTTTCAGCATAAGCTCCATGCAAGATGCAAAGGGCATATAAATTCTTGGAATCGAGTAACTGAGACATGTAAGTGGCCTGTGATAATACCTGCTCATTTTCAGTATTTAAGATCCGAGTTAAGTTGATCAAGAAAAAAAACAAAAGTTACAGAAAATTAGAGTTCTGCTGCAGTCACACTTTAACAGCAATATTCAGAAAACTGGCATCAAAATTTAAGAGTTTTAGGAGAATTTTAAATAGAAAGTATTTTTGATTTCCCAGTAAGTTAGATGTCACTGTAACAAGCAATAAACAGTACAGGCAAAGTAATCACACTCAGATAATACAAGAGATGATACGATATATCACTTATCAAGCAGCCTAAGATTTGACATTACCTAAATATCAAACCAACTCCACAAAAATCTGCCCGCTCTGATATAACTAGCTGGTAATCCATAAAGGTATAGGCATGCTGCAAGTCTGGAATGCTGGAACAACTTCCTTTAACCAAGGAACTGATAACGGGTCACCCCTTCCAAACCTAAGCCCACTGTTCTTTCTGCTGTCTCAAGTCTGATTCCAACATCACAAAACTTCATCTCCCACGGTTTTGGAAAAATGCTACTGCCCAACTGCAACAAGTGAAATAAGCAAATAAGGAAAAAAAACCTCATATCAGATCTGAAGTCCCTCTCTACAGCGGTCCTTAAGAATTTAAAATGTAAAATATGACACTGATAAAATGTTAACTCAGTCCTCAAATTAAGGTGTGGTGCAGCCGAGGTTAAAAGCAAGATTCAGCTTGAGGCAGGCACCAGGAACAGAAAATTTTATTCTAACCAGTAAGCACAACATCAGAAGTCTTATGATGAATAATTTCAGAAACTGTTTTCTTGGCTTTTCTTTCTGAAGTTCTCTTTTGCAATTTTAAAAATCCCAAGATAACAATAAGGGAACGTTTTTATACCAAGTCTGTTCTCTTCCAGTTGTGGATCATCCAACAAACCACCTTTTCAGCCCAAGAGCAGCTTATTTTGTTCCATTAATTCTTAAACTAAGGGGGAAAATTTACAGACATAATGATACTGATTTTCACTACATCATATGTAAAATATATAGAATAATATTTGGAATTAACAGAATTATTTTCCAATTTAGAACTGGGTATTAGCAACTTTTATACTCTTTAGATATGTTCAGGTGTCTCTGTGTTACACAGACTTTGGTTGCTCAAAGTTTAACAGAGTTAAATTGTGGCTTTGACTGCCTTCCTTTGAACTAACTGATACCTAGCAGGGGAACCTTAGTGTTTCCACATGACACACAGATCTTTTCAAGTAAAGCAGATTTAGGACTGTTTTCTGTCCAACTTCATAACACAAGTCTTACCAGTATGGTCCCGGAGAGCACATGTAAAAGCCTCTTCTCCACAGATTACTTCTATTACTCAAATTTTTGCCCTGCAGAGGAGGGTTTGTATGAACTGCTAACACATTGGGAAAAAGCAATTCCAGTCACCATCAGGCATTATCCAAGAATTTCACAGTGAAGTGCTTATGAATAGCAAACAAACCATTTATCTAGCATAAATTCAAAACAGCAGAATTAAGGAAAACACTGTCTTGATAACTATACTTACTATTCTCAAAAATACTGTATTTTATAATCGACAGATCACTCTTCGTACTGACTCCTAATAACGTCAGGCTTCTATCGTCTCTTTTAACCGCCCTGAATACACTAAGTAAAGCACAAACCCCTCACTTGCTTCCTGGGGACTGCGGATGGTGTGCATAACAATCCTAATTGCTTTAACAACTGAATTCTGTGCAGTAAAATTAAATTTGTTTACAAACCCCAAAAGCTCAGGCAAAGAATAAACATATATAAATGCAATCAACTTGGTGTGCAAGACAGATGCTAGTATAAAACACACACTGACAGGAACAGAAACAGAAGTGCTGTAAGGTTGTTTAAGTTCTCACTTGCTTCCTGGGGACTGTGGATGGTGTGCATAACAATCCTAATTGCTTTAACAACTGAATTCTGTGCAGTAAAATTAAATTTGTTTTGCTTCAGCAACTTCCAAAGAGCAAAAATGACATTTTCTGGAGGCTGAGGTTTTGTATTACATTTCGGTGGTGTTTAAAATTCTTTCAATGCTGTAAGTATGATTAGACTTGATAGTTCCCTTTTTAAAATTCATTAAAGCTGCAAATTCTGAATGATTACAAGGGAGCTCAGCGCTCACCTCCAACTGAATTTCATTAGTTTTGGCACTGTTCAGACTACAAAAGCCCTACCTACACCTGTTATTATATTATAAACACAAGAAATACATATTTAACATCAGGCACAGTGCAAAGGATTTATCATAAGCTGAAAGCCATATACTATGACAGACACAGTTTATTAAAAGATGCATTAAGAACAACTCGAAGAGGTGAATTGAAGTGCTGAACTGAATTAAAAGTTAGATTAAAATCACATACAAGATGCTTCCCATTATCTGAATTAATAACAAGATAGG